AATTTACAGTCAATAGCTGAAAGTGATGAGATATTACTAGCATCGTACCGAGGCATAGTTGATGACATTTTCAATCAACCAATTAAATTTACAGTCAATAGCTGAAAGTGATGAGATATTACTAGAATCGTACCAAGGCATAGTTGATGACATTTATAATCAACCAATCCAATTTAAGGTCAATAGCTGAAAGTGATGCGATATTACTAGCATCGTACCTAAGCATAGTTGATGGCATTTTTAATCAACCAATCAAATTTACAGTCAATAGCTGAAAGTGATGAGATATTACTAGCATCGTACCTAGGCATAGTTGATGGCATTTTTAATCAACCAATCAAATTTACAGTCAATAGCTGAAAGTGATGAGATATTACTAGCATCATACCTAGGCATAGTTGATGGCATTTTTAATCAACCAATCAAATTTACAGTCAATAGCTGAAAGTGATGCGATATTACTAGCATCATACCTAGGGCATAGTTGATGGCATTTTTAATCAACCAATCAAATTTACAGTCAATAGCTGAAAGTGATGCGATATTACTAGCATCATACCTAGGCATAGTTGATGGCATTTTCAATTAACCAATCAAATTTACAGTCAATAGCTGAAAGTGATGAGATATTACTAGCATCATACCTAGGCATAGTTGATGGCATTTTCAATCAACCAATCAAATTTACAGTCAATAGCTGAAAGTGATGCGATATTACTAGCATCATACCTAGGCATAGTTGATGGCATTTTTAATCAACCAATGAAATTTACAGTCAATAGCTGAAAGTGATGACGATATTACTAGCATCATACCTAGGCATAGTTGATGGCATTTTTAATCAACCAATCAAAATTCAAAGTCAATAGCTGACCATGACTGCATACATTGATGATAATGCTTAGGCATTCAATGTAAAGGTTTTGGAGTCTTCGGAAAGTGCATAGATTCAAGGTTAAAGGGCGACAGTCGCGTCGTGCCGCGCTGTTCGATATGGGACTCATAGCGACGTATACAACGCGTGTAAAATACATTGTTTATTTACATGAAATTCGAACACGCGCTGCACGGCGACCACCGCGCTTTAAAATACATATTCTAATGTTTTATCACAGGACTGGTTTTATGTTAAAAAAATGGGTTATTTTAAATTTCAAAAATGTGGATTAAAATGAATTTGATTTCTGATCTAAAGTACATATGCTATGTTAAAATGGACACATTTTAAATACCACTAGAGTGCCTGTTTTTAAAATTATACAAAGTAATGTTACCTAGCGCATGTGCTTACATAAATGACAGTAGTGTCTATGGACAATACAAGTTTGTATGATTCAGTATACAATAAATGCAATAAATAAAATAAATGCACCTCTAATATACTGTAGATGCACTTCTAATAAAGCGAATATGATAGGTTAATCAAGAAATCCTGAAAAAGGAGTCATCTGCAAATATGATAAAAAAAAACATTTATTGACTTGACAAAGTGATACAGCAACCAATCCATCCATGACAAACATGATTCCATCACAAATTATCCCCGAAGGACAGTTGACCAAATAAACACAAATCACAAGGACATACAACCCTGACCTACTAATAGCAATGCTATGTTAATGCACTGCATAAAATATCAACACTATCAATAAAAAAAAGTATACTGTAATACTGCAGTCTTAGTTTACTAAATGTTGAAATTCTTGTGACAATAAATCTATTTTCATTTCGTGGTAATAATAATGACAACACAAAACACCAAGGATATTGTTCTTAGCTAATATAAAGTACTAGTACTCTTGAAAGATTACCCCACCCCTTCCCCTGCCCCAGCCCAAAACTGTTACATCATCCAGGGTAATGTCTTATCCTGAGCATCCTATAAAGAGAAATAACAAAAGAAATTAAATGGCATACTTAATTGAATGAACATTTTCAACAGAACAGTTTTGCAATGACTTTCGAAAATCATTTTAAAACAAGATTGCATTTTGGGTAATGCTATTACGGACAACACTGACAACCATTTTTTATATGCATTTTGTCACACATTAATCACAATCAAATTTTGTCATGCTACCATAATTTACACATCTTTAGATATAATTTCTTCTAACAGAATTAATTTTTAATTTTCTTAGTTCTGTTGAAAATGTATGTGAAAATATTTAAAAAAAAACAATTATGCAGGTTGATTTCAGTGGGATAAAAACTAGGGAGTGTGTAGGCCTATTTTTATGTACAACGTGAAAGATTAATATCAGGTTTTGGATATTATAATAATTTAGAAGATGAAATCCTTGGTTATGTCTTTTTATGAATTTATTTTACAAGAGCCATTTTGTTTTTCGATTTAAGACATGGCCTGTGTGTTTCAGTGCATATTCATAAGCTGCCTCCCCCACAATAAAATGGTCATTTACACAAAGTCCTGGAATTCGTGGACATTATATATGGAAATTCTAAAACCAGCTTACCTCTGCAACCACAGTGAACACATTCAACAACTTTTCCCTAAAGACAAGAAAACAAATGAATCATATGATATACACAGTAAAAATATATTTGAATTTAATTTTGCCTGGAGTGCATTTAACAGCCACAGTATCGAGATTCAACATGGGAGATTGCAGTGTGTCAAAATACCTCAAGCATGATAAATGTAGACAACTCTCAGTGGGCATTATCATGCCAGAATATGTAGTACATTGATAAATACAAAATCATCAATTCATTATAGCACGTTTAAATAATATGGCAATGTTTTTTAAAAACAGCTGTTTTTTTTATTAATGTACAACTCTGTGTGGCTTCATTTTACACATAAGTAAGATGACTACTGGTACACTTTTCAATTTTTGCTGATACCGTAGCAGCTCTAGAAGTATAGCATGTACTATATATGCTAACAAGTCATTGAAAATGACACAGTCCCCGTTAAATTTTGGGAAGTTCTCTTTGTGCTCATAATATTAAAGCATAGGGGTTGTCGCAAGCCTGTCCTTGAAACTTGAGTTCCAAGTGGCGTATACAACAGATTGTTTATTTACATCAAAACACGTGTTCCGTGTAGTAGTAATATGGCCAAAAATAAAAACAGCCGTTATTCGTCCATCTTTGATCTGATTATGAAACACACTGATATGTATGATGTATGTGCCAATACAAATGAAAATGGTACATAAATTGTGGAAATTTAGTAGTAAGGCCAAAAAGTCAGATGGCTGTCAATCGGCCATCCTTGACCAGATTTTGAAACAAATTGTCATGGACATGCATCTTAACATGTATAAAGTACATGTATGTGCCAAATTTGAATGAAAACTGACAGAGCACGCATAAAGAGAAAACAAAAAACAAGATGCCTGCCAGTTCACCATCTTTGATCCAATTGTGAAATAAATCGTCATGAACATGAATCCTAACATGTATTATCTATGTACCAAGTTTGAATGACAACTGACAAAGCATGTCCAAAATACAACATTTTCAAAAAACAAGATGGCTGCTAGTCGCCTATTTTGAAACGAATCGCTAAACTACTGCATGTGCATATGTCCCACATAAGGTACTAGGCACATGCAAAGAATGAACGGAATCGGTCCACAGGATTCTGAAATATGACTCAAGACAGAGTGACGTATGGACGGCCGGACACACGGCCGGACGAACAGACTCAGGAACTCACGGACGGCCGGACATGTATCCTAACATGTATGATCTATGTACTAAATTTGAATGAAAACTGACAAAGCATGTCCAAAATACAACATTTTCAAAAAACAAGATGGCTGCCAGTCGGCCATCTTTGATCCAACTGTGAAATAAATCGTCAAGGACATGTATCCTAACATGTATAATCTATGTGCCAAGTTTGAAAAAAAATGCCAAAGCATACACTATTTATACACTGCACTATTTTCAAAAAACAAGATGGCTGCCAGTCGGCCATTTTGAATCGAATCGCTAAACCACTGCATGTGCATATGTCCTACATAAAGTACTAGGCACATGCAAAGAATGAACGGAATCGGTCCAAGGGATACTGAGATACGACTCCGGAAGGACACACGGACGCACAGACGCACGGACAGAGACCGAATTATAAGTCCCCGATGTGAATATGGCCAAAACAGAGGTGTGTATTCGACTATACAAAGGCTTACTTTAATGATGCAGTTTACAATACAATTTTTGCCTTCAAACAGAACAATTGCAGTAATCTTGTAATAGAAATTTCTCTCAATGTGCACAAAGAAAATTTTTGTGAACATGAATCAATCATTTTAATTATGACTGTGATAATGATTTATGAGTACAGCAACAAAACTTAGCTTAACACATCACTTGCTGGAGCTTTCTCAAATACATTGTAGTAGATATTAGCAACCTGTGACTATCGATGGAGGCTTCTCCACAGTCAATGTGTTAACCCTGCCTGCCTTACTAAATGGAAAAGTCTCTTAATTCACTATCTAGGGCCTAGACTAGCATCACACACTTTACAACAGCTGTATTTGAAATAATCTGTAAATTGTGACAATAAAATCAAAATGAATCTACTTACTTCTTCCAATTTACTTTTAGGCACTCTGCATATACAGTTTGTTCCAAAATTTGTGTCCCTTGCCTGTATGCATCGGAGGCAGCACAGATTTTCATATCCTTGTTTTTTCCATTTGGCGATTAGATTCTTATCAGCGTATCCTTCTTTGATACAGTAATCATATAATTCTATAAAAAAACAAAAACATTTTATATGTACTGCCAATCAGGATATCCATCACCATATTTGCTTTTGGCAATAATAACTCCTCTTTCGTAATTTTATTTGTGAATTGACATTCAATTTAAACAGATTACTCTGAAATCAGAGATACCTAATGCTTGACAAAAAAAAAAATACTGTCTTGTAGTACAGATACCGTATTTGCTCTCTTAGAAGCGCATATAAACCCACAAATGCACTGCGTACTGAAATATTAAAATGTTATGAATTTTGATCATAGAAACACCTCTAACAAAATGGCTAAAACAACACAATTATATTACAAGTTTTCAAGTGCTGGTTAAAGAGTTAGTCATTACATGGTGCATGTTTGAATTTCTTATAAACAAAACAATACATTTCACACACGGTGTAAACTGAGCGTAGGTCCCTTATTGCACACAATGTGACAATTGCGGCGCTTTACCATGAGGTTGCCAATGGTAGTGATAGAATTAATGACTGATATTTTGTAATATAATTATGTTGTTAGCATGTCCAATTGAAACATATATTAAAAATCAAAGCCATGTAAACCTTTTTTTAAAGGCTGCATTTAGAAAATACGAGTCAAATCAAGCACGAGACCAGTTAGCAGTCACGTGGTTGGGCTCATTTCATTTCAACCTACCTCTGCTAATTGCTCTTCTTTTGTAAAATAAATCAAAAATATATCTTGATCTCTGATGGTGTAGCTTAAATATTGGCCACAATGCCTCCACCTTTCTTTTGCCTTCATGTGGCTCTGTTTCCACTGAGAATGAAAAAAGAATACAATGCATTTACAAACTCACTATGACCCACGGCACAAGGTACGGCTAGTCCTGTTCACAAGGACTGTGTGTCTTGATGATCCTCTGGACATGGGATTGTTTGGGAATCGTTTTATCATCTGTAAGATTCTGATCCCAATAATCTGTAAATGCAGGACTAAATGTTTGGCTAGATACTTCTAATCACATGCAAAACAAGACCTTGGTATAATACCTTGGGTACTGGTTAGGTCACCAAACCGACTAGCCTGATAACTACCTGACCAATACTATGAAACTGACAATAGTTGTGTTCACGTTACACGAAGTACGGGCTAAGATTTAAGCTGATTTAGGCTTATCTAGCATATTTGCATTTTGGCTAGACCCAATTGCGTCCACGCACAGGGAGGGCCAGTCGTTAGCACAGGCTAAGGGGTGCCATTAGTCGGTGACCTTTGGTAAGCCGCTATTTACGAACAAAAAATGGATGACACGCGCGAGGTTCTATTTCTGCTGC